ACACCATTCGCGAACGAATATTCTCAGAATATGAATTGGCAACTTAGTTACCATTTACAAACTCATATTTTAGTATTAATAGTGTGCAAAATTTGAAAAAAAAACTACCTTTTTAGGATCTGCGCGCACTACTCAGTGACCTATGATTCGACCTGCATTATTAACTCATCCGAGGTAATTTGCCTTGAATTGTGATGACTTAGTGTCACTGGAAATTGTAAAGTTTCTAGCTGTGCACAATTCGTCGTCAAGCGGGCGCTCCTGTCTCAATAGGTCCCAAAACTGTGGCACCCTTTGACCACGGACTACATGTGTGCACCTACAATAGTCAAATGCTACCGGAACTGTGACCGGGACTGCATGCGATGGAAAAAAATTGACATTGAGCACACCACTAAATATTTATAAGTTACACAATTTTGGAGTTTCAATTAGCTCGTCTTTGATATTAGCTTCGGGTGATGACTTTTTCATTTTAATAGCTTCCAGCAGCCTTAGTAAATAAACTGGTTCTCACTTGCGAATAATTTTTGTCATGGACGGTGTGGAAATGGAAATAGTGCAATGGTTGGCGCTCTATACCACCCTGAGTGTCAGGGGACGAACGCTGGATCGTACATCGTCCAAGCCAAGCAAGCCTCAAGTCCTCCATCCCTCCAAAATTGGCAAATTGGTGGTAGCACAGTCGTTTGAAGAGGAGAGAAATGCAACAATTGTACGTCGTTGACTTTCAAAAGCCATTGTATAGGGAAAACCGCATTGAAGTTACCAAGTACTACTCCATTTCCGTATTGTGATGGCATAAATTATTAGAAAGTGAATGCCAAGTTGATTCTGAGTTGAGCTATAGCTTTAAAGGGTAAAGGAGGAAGGAAAGCTTTTGCCGTTGATCAATCCCTTTTTGGGATGCGGCACGCATTCTACTTCCATTTGTACATTCGTAGTGGCGTTTGAATGCGATGTGGCCTATACAATGACTTGCGGGGGCCAGCCGATGTACAAGTCAGTGTTTTTATCCTCCCAGACAGGGATGGAAGGCTTGGTTGGCCCGGGCGACTCACGACCCAGGATTTGATCCCCGGACCGCTCGCGTGGTAAGCGTGCCACTTGCCACTACACCACTTCCGCCCTATAGTATTATGCCGAAAAGGTGTAGATTAACGCCACAGTTTCATCCTTTATTCTTTTATCTCAGACAATGACCGACAAGATGAGTCCAATACATTTAAGCAGAGGGTGAGTGATAAACTGCCCCATTTTTTCCTAGCTGCGCTAGCTCCTGATACGCTAGATCATTACATCAGATAAGGCAGAGAGACATAGGTAGACAGATAGGTAGGTAGACCCATACAATACAACATTTAAACTAGCCAAAATTATCATTGCATTTTGAACTCGACGACTGTGGCACGGACTGAAATATTCACGAGGTTATGAACAAAACTTGCGCTTCAAGTGAAACTTGAACCTGCACCCCTCGCTTACTGGACAGGTGCGCTACATAGTCTATTAAGGCACCGTTTCGCCCTAATTTGTGGTAAACTACCATAGCTTACCACACTTAAACAACAGCTAACAAACAAAACAAGTGAAAATTACGACAAAGCTTTTTTTGGAGCCATGAATTCTCTTGGAACAAAATTTTTGTGGCACTCTGCATGGTAATTCCAGAAAGACTGAAGATTTTCTGATCACTGCTCTTCATTTACTACATTCGTAACCCAATTCTCCACGATCCACGTTTTTCAAACAACTCAATCATTTCGGTTTCGGCTAATACGATTAAGGTAGTGCCGATGTAAGCGGCGTCGCTTAGCACGCGCATTGTACAGGGGTCAAGTCGCGGATCGAACTTCGCCCAAGCCAGCCAGCTTTCATTACCTCCGCAATTACCTAATTGAGCCCAGACCTGCTCAGGAGGAATACCTACTTGTATACAGGCGTCACCGCATAAATCATACTATAGGACAATAACAACGAAGGAGTCACTACGGTCTCTTCCAAACCCGAGTGATATATGGAATAATGAAGTTAAGGACGACTGATTCAATGAACATATCCCTTCTTTTTGCCTCATCGCAACCGTTCTCTAGCCTGCTAAAGCGCCATACAGCCACTAACAATGTAGATTCCTGCACACAAATCGATACCTTGTCTCAAGGACACTCATTTCTCAGCAGTGTGGCTCAGTTGGGATCGGAAATTTTTGGTCTAAGGCAAATCCTGGCGCTCAGCTCTTGCAAGTCGTCAAGTCTTAGTGAACGAAATCGCGCTGACCTATTCGTTCACTCTTCGGACGTGCAATGATTGCTAGCATAGCAAGCGAAAGGCGAGGCTATTCCAAAAATCCTCGGCGACGTACATGTTTCCATTTTTATTCGTTCTTCGCAACTTTTTCACCGAATATTTATTCTGGGAGGGACATATATGCGTCTTTCGTCGTACCAGCTGATCAACCCAGAAAATTCAAATTTAATGGCGATTCACTAAAAAGCATTTTTTTAAATTCTTAATTCATGCGAGGGCCATAAGCACCAATATATTAAAACAAAATAAATCAGTGAAGTAAATAGTAAACAATATGACATCATACTAGCGCACAGGAACTTTGTTTGTATTTTTCAACTATTATTACTTTTTACAATTATGTAAAAAATTATATCTTTTTATCATCAATATTGATGTTGCCAACATGGTAATCGCTGCGGACGGTCATCTCCAGCTTGGCCTTCACCTCTACCTTTACTCTTTATATAACTTCCCTTGCCTTTGCCTTTGGTCTTATGTTAAGTTAGCAGTGGCACTCATACGAGTATATAATAAATAAATAGTAATAAATAATATACATCTTTATCTACAGCACAAAACTCCTAGCTTTTGCCAAAAAACAAAATGGATTCATTCGCTTCCATTCGACTCTTTACCCTTTTCCCTTTTGAAACTTCAAAAGGGAAAAGGGTAAAGAGTCGTTTTCAAAAGAGTATTTGTCTTCTGTTGCCCCTACATCCCCGAATGCTAACTTTCTATTCTTTCAAAAATTTTGTTAATTTATTTAATTGGTCTTGTTTACAATTCAGCATAAATAGTATAAGCAATGATTTTAAATGTCAAATACCAACAGCGAAAAAACACGATTCCGAGATTGCTTTATTTCGAGTTTCTGCGTGATCAAAGAAGCAGCCGACACAGCTTAGGATAAGCGTTCCGTTGATCGAGTAGAGGGGCTGGTCCGGAACGGTGCATAAAATTGGTACACAAATTCAATAAAAACGAAGTGGCGTTTCTCTGCCTGGAATTCTTCGAGTGCCTGAACGTTGTGTAGAAGTAAGCTGTTTTGTGAAATGGTAGACCAAGAAGGCTAGAGGATTATATTGAAGTCCAATAGATTAGTTTTCGAATACCTGTAGAAGTAGAAAGGCAATCGACAACCAGAGCTTTTTTTCGCGCCGTAATTTCGCTCGGTGTCGCTCGGTTTTTCCCTAGGTCTTTCTTTCCTTTTTCAAACCTGTTTTTGTCTATGCTGAGATGAGCCTCGTCGCACGCTTGCCACTGGTGCGCACCTACGTCTCCTTTTCTATCCCCCGTTTGAGTTTTGTCAAATCAAAACCTATTAATCTAAGAGTGAAATAATATTCAGCATAGGCGATCGCGTCTGTTCTTTCTGTAGATTTTCCCCCACATTTACCAGAGCGCTAGCATGGTTTAGTGGAAAGGAAAGGTTTCCTAATAACGCTCACTGAGATTTTGGTATCTATTGTACAGTTAGCCTCAATTTTTTCCAATCTCTAATTTAGATCTCTAATTTAGCCATTATTTAGGGAATTGCTCTATCCTTATTACTCTCTATGTTCGTTTATCCTGAAGCCTCTGCATTTTTCACATGGTAGTTATTATGTCTGTACCTGACAGGTTTTTGAAGTGGAACGTTTGTTTTGCCAGGAGCTCAAAATATCATGGTTTTCGAAGGTCTGAGGGCGTTCCGAAACTTTGTAGGATGTTGCTATCCCCCCAATGCGAGCCTGCCCTTAGCTAAGTGCCACAGAGGCTAGTGAACCATGAAGTGGAGATCTAACCATATTGTTTATCTCGACACTATTGTCAACATAATAAATGAGTGCTGTAGATGTGCACGGTTTTGTTCTAGCCTGTGGACGATTACAGTACTTTTTTATTAGGCTTACTTTTCAGCCTCATCGCCTTCACCGGAGTCTGAAAACTCGGAAAACGATGGAGACCAATCCTTTCACTGGCCAAACTATTCTGAACACAATTTCTGCCGTGCTGTAGAACATTTCCTAGTGTCCCTGTGTTTTGTAGAGATCATGTCTTTCTTCGACATTGCTATTTTTGTTGACATATGAAGGGCGTTCAATTACGATCGGTCATCTCCCATAACCCTTAATATTTTATAAATACAATAGCTAACACATAATCGAGTGTATGACTATGAAGGATTGATTGCAAACGATGAGATAATGCATCAACGAGATCGTTATCAAATTACAGTACGAAGACGTATACGACTTCTATGAATCGAACGACAAATACAAACTCTATATGCTGTTTATGGAGTAGAGGCATTTACCGTAGCAGCTTTGTTAGGAGTTAAAAAGGTTTTGTTCTCAAAAATCTACTCTACCGATGTGTTTGTGTGTTGGCTTTTAGCGGGTGGAAATACGGTAATGTGAAATGGTCCCGTGTTTCTAATATTCAGAAATTTCGTGAACACATTCTCTTTCAAACGAATCATATTTCAACTCTCGTTTTACCGTAGGCGTAAACTTGCGTACCTGGCACGGAATCTCTCTCTCTTTTTGACTATTACAGTACCAGCTCACGACCTTCACACTCTCACCCGAACACCACTCAGGGAAGATAGTACGCACGGTGGGAGGCCTTAGACATACGACGACATACTGTGGTGAACGCATATACCCAGAACGAGGGCGGCTCACACTGTTGTGGCGAGCCGTGGTCTATGTTAGGCACCGAGGAAGTCCATGGTAGGTGTGGATACCGTTCTCAAGCCGGCACTCGAAGCCGAAGCTTGTCCTGTATGTGGCGATCGTGTGTCTGGATACCATTATGGACTGTTGACTTGCGAAAGCTGTAAGGTGAGTCTGAGCGCTTACCTGATTACCTTTTACTTGTGCTCTGTACCCTCATTATTCCTTAATCTCGTTAATGACGGCTTTTCTTCTCTCATGTTGACCTTTACTTCGTTTTAGGGATTCTTCAAGCGCACAGTTCAGAACAAAAAAGTAAGTTTTCACTTCTACTTGTTAATATCGTACAAATCGTCACGAATTTGATATTGCTCGATAACTTAAGGTTGCTGTTTTCTTTATCAAGCTGAACTCAATTTCTATCCATTTTTTCTTATGGCATTCAATTATTCATGCATTTTTTTGGGATTCGCTCACAGAACGCTCATTTCAGCACTACCAATGTTCTGCAGATTCATCGTGCCATGTTGATAAGACATGCCGGAAACGTTGCCCAAGTTGTCGTTTTGCGAAGTGCATGGCAGAGGGCATGAAAGTAGAAGGTAGGATTTTACCGAGGGAACTTCACCTTGTGTTTCATCCCTGCATTGTTCAGACTATTCCTACAGTATGAGCCGATAAATGGCATGATCAATTTCTCGTTCAAAATCGTTTTTTTTTCTGTCTGCAAAATTTCTTTGAATGTGGGTTTCATCCCTCGCACAGGCGTAAAAAACCGGTCGTAGTAAATCGATCGCATCAATCATTGAATGTGGAGAGAATAGTGCTTTATTCAAGAGTTCTCCTGCGGCTAATGCTATTGGTACCGTCTTCTGAACAGGGACGATAGGATGGCACCGTTTTCCGTAAAGATTAAATCTACGGCAATATTCTATTGATCGGAAATCAATAATTGAATGGCATTGAATAAGTGTGCAGTGAGTACGGTCTTCGTACTATACCCGTAACTGTTTTACGTATCCTAGTGCACGCTAGCAACCGCGCTTTTTTTACGGAACGCGAATCGAAACCGAAAAGCAACAAAGGCCATATAGCGGTGGCATGTCATAATTATAGGCAGATCAGGTTTTTGGTATAGTTTTTGCGGACTTTTTGTTCGGCATTGTTAGGGTGGGGGAACTGGAAGTAGAATAGCGCCGTCCTTGCAGAGAAAGGAGGCGCGGGCCCAAAAGTCCAGCCGCGCACATGGCATATTTTTTCATTTGGATTTTACATTGTCGTAATAGATACCGTATACATCACAAAAAAAACTGAAAGTTGAAACTGAAGTTGATGAGACAACTTTAGCTGTTCGCGAAGATCGTATGCGTGGTGGAAGGAACAAGTTCGGGTCCTACTACAAAAGGGATCGAGCGGCTCGCATGCAACGTATTGCTCTTCGGGGCAGTGCTCCTCAGGCTCACTCAGGTGTCTTCTATTCGACCCATGCCCCCATGGACCATCAAGTAACGAGCAGGTACTGATTTACAAGCCTCATATAGAAAGGTGACGTGCAGGGAAAGGTTAACTATTTACTCTTTCAGTACTCCTGATCAATCTCCGCATATCCATTACTTCGATGGAAGCACGCACAAAGTGAAGACAGAGTACGATGCTATGTTGCAGAGCCCAACTCTTTCCAGCAGCACCCCCAGTCAACAAAGTGCGTTTATACTAAAGCAGATGAAGCACATTCGACAGCTTCTTTACCGGCTTACCCTTTTCCATACTTTTAATCCATAGAAATAATTGGCATCACTACAAAACGGTAGCGTGTGCCCTTGAGTCCACTCCAATCTGATACGATTACATTTTCAGATTTCATTATTCATCGACCAAACCCTTATATACCGGATAGCGATAGCTTAGCTGCACTTCTGGGACAATCAATTGATGATCCACTACTGCGATCACAGGCGTTCCCTGTATATCCGGCGATAAAGCCGGAGCCATTTGATTATACAGAACAATATCTTCCGGCTCAACTAACTGATTATTCTGCATTTCACACTCCTGTAACCTATTCATCAATGATTACGGCAAATTCTATAACTAGAAGTGTTTCTAGCTCAGGTATCATTAAGTACTTACTAGTACAACTTCTTTTGCGGATGTCAATTTACGAAACGGTTGCAACAGCTTACACTTAAGGTTCGAGCCGATCCTCTCCAGTGCTGACTGTCTGCCCCGTTCAAGCAGAAAAAGTAGCAGATGCCTTTTATATAAGTAACAATGAAATGGAGTTGTTACTGAGAGCGCTTCCAGATAGCCCAAGGTAGCGTCTGATTCTCTCCATTGAACGACTCATGAAAGGAATGAATCTTTTTCGCCGCTAATGTCTCATTTTTTACAGGATCTTGTCGATTCTTCACAAAGTCGACAAGGTGGATCCTTTCACTTTTTCGATGGCTGTCGTCGAGGCGAATTTGAACGAGCTAGTCTCTTGGGCTAAAAATGCTCCTTACTTTCCTCAGCTTGAGGTACGCTAATTCCAAACAAAACAGTTTTCCCAAAACACCAAACAACAATACGTAGGATAGCGCCATTGCATGATAGGACGCTAGCTCAAAAATGTCCAGTGGCCTTTCTGGCTCCAGCCGGCTTTCATCGAAGTAACAGGGAGAACATGGCATGATGGCAATGCATTTAAAGCTGCGTAAAACACCTCCTTTTTATTGAAAATGGGATTAGGCCTTAGACAGGGGGAGAGAATCTGAGGTGCGTGAGCCATTTTCATTTTCCCTGGGGTTCCTGCCAGTCCAAAAATGCCCCCGTACATTGCGATAGCGCCTAACAAAGTATTGCGTTTTCACTGCTATCACAGTCAGTCGCTTAGTCACAACTCCTTACAGGGGGCAAGTGTAATTTACGCGCTCTTCGCCAACTGTCCAACATCAGTGGTGCCGAGGCATCGTATCTGAGAAATCGAACATTGATTCTTCCCGAGGAGTGCAAAATAAATGGCGACATTGGATTGCGTAGTGGATCTAATCGATGCCCATTTTTTAGCCACAAAATTTCTATATTTTCAGATGGAAGATCAAATGATGATGCTGCAATCATCGTGGGCCTCCATTCATATTATCGACGTTAGCTATGCTGTGTTGAAAGGAGAAATTTCCCATATAGTGAAATTGCCTAATGGTGCTGAGTAAGTGTGATTAATTCTTGAATCGCTACCGTAATCTGCAATTTCTGGTGATGCCTCTTCGGAGGCTAATGGTAACGGTGAGAGCACATAACGCTAGAGAGACAGTATAACTCGCTTGCGCAACTATTGCCGCTATCTATTCTAAATCTGATAACTGTCTCGCAATACCAAGCGGCATTTCACTAAAAGACTTTACGATATGATGAGGTCATGAGATACTTACCACACGAGATCGCACAGTTCAGATGAAAGCGGATTGTTGTTGATGGTGGAAGCCACCCAACTCTTCCCCAAACTGATTACTGTACTTTTCAGTCTTCCGACAGGCTTGATTGCTCTCATGGGTTATCATGTCCACATCCACAAATGGACTGAGTTGATTGGTAGATTACATGCTCTTGGATTTGATCGATGTGACTACGCTGCATTCAAGTTTCTTGCCCTTTACCAAAAAATTGAGGACAATGGTATGCTTTCTCGGTTTCTGCAGATTTGCTTTTACAAATATTGATTTTTTAGTTGGAGTGCAACTGAAAAATTCTCATCACATTCTGAAGGCACGTGAACTACTTCTGGCATCGTGGGGCTCTTATCGTGGTACTGCAAATGCCACCCTCCTGCCTCACTATGATGTGTTTGTTCAGATGAAGTGAGTAGGTTTGCGTCGTCGTCGCCTATGCAGCTTTCGCTGCTGCTCGACACTCGTCTTCGTAGCCTTGAACGAAGTGCCATTCACTCGCATTCTCCCCTCTTTCTTTCTGACGACCTTGAGCGTACCGAGATTCGCTGCGGATATGCTGCGCGCTTGACTTCCTCGAGTGCCAATTAGTATTCAGTGAGCTACAATTACTGTATGCCATTACTGTATCCCTACGGGAGACATTCCCACAAACAGTAAAATGATGGTCAATTTGCATACGTGGGCTAGCTAAATAATGGAACCCGTATACTAATGTCCGTTCGAGAACTTTCAAGTCATAAAAATATAACTAAATGGGTATGAGATTCGCTTAAAACCTTATTCTCATCAATGGCATCTGTATTAATCCCCTGGGCTCATTTTAGGGCTGTTAATGAGTGCAGAAGTTTATTAGGACAAGACTCGTTGAGCTAATCTATTCTTCTTTCGAGAAACCATTGCTTTTGAACGCGTCTTGGTGACTTTCGGCGCTTGCAGATCTCAAAAAAGACATTATTGCGGCCGAAAGTAATATCTTTTTGCAGTTACGTCCTTGGGAAAGGCACCGGCGGAAATGATTTAGAGATTGAAATCATAGTGTTGGCTGTCAGTGCCGCCGCGGCAGAAACCCCTCAACAACTGATTTCGAACTGTAAGAATAAAAAAATCAATGCCGTATTTTAGAGCGTTGGCACAAGCATCACAACACTTTTTGATGGAACGTAGTATCGCAGGAGAGGTCGGACTGCCATTGCTATCCGAAATGTTGAATCCTGTCGTGAATCGAACCGTTCCAAACTACGTACGATAGTCATTGATTGTACAGGTGTATATTTCTCGTAAAAATTTTCATGATATTTTCACGCCTATTTTATCTCCCCGGCGAGTTCAGGAGAACTATTCTTGACAAAAGTCTGAACAGTGGTCATAATTCACTATACCTACATATTCTTAGGTGAATGTACTCTTCTAGTTACTGTATCATTTCTATTTGTTTGCCAAGTGCATTTTTGAGAATTACTTCATCTTAATATCTATGCATTGCCACATACTTCAAATTAATTGTATTTCCTTTTAATATGCACCGATTTGACGCAACGGCGTCGATCTCTATGGCTTTTCGTTACGGGACGCCTGCCTTTACTTTTGCCTCTGATTGAGCCTTCCGGGTTTCTCAGTACCCTGCTCCTTTGAATGCATAACGGATCTTAGCAAAAATTTACAGTGCTATGTGAGTTGGGGGGATCACGCGGCGGCGCGGCTCTCTGCTCGTCTGGCGTTCTCTCAAGCGAGACAGTATAAGCCTGAGCATAGGAAGGAAGTTCGAAAGAGGGTCTCCTGGCTCACATGCCCCGAGGTTAGGTTTTGTGAAAGATCACAGATCATACTGTTTACAGACTACCACTTCCTTCTTAGGCATAGGCTTAGTGACTTGAGAGAGCACCAGACGAGCAGAGCGCCGCGTTGCCGCGTGGTCCCCCCAACTCACTTAGCACCAGATTTACTCAACTTTATGTTCTACCACTTATTTGACTCACGCTACTCACGAAGTTGTACTTGTGCCTTGCATTTCACTTAACTCAATGCATTCCATGTGTATAGGTAACAGCTTGATTGTGTAATTTATGGTTGTCATCGGTTATGTTTCACTTTTGCTTGTGAAATGTGTCAAAACGAAATTGAATTAGTTGAATGTCGCTCCTCGATTCAGGTATAAGTTACGATGGTCATATGATAGAAGTAGTTTTTGCCAATTTCGAAAGCTATTGTCTGATGAATATCTGGTCTCCATTCTTGAAACCAGTTTGAAACCTCAAATACATTCAAATCAGCTCGGGCAAATCCCAGGTCAAAGGGGTCACTTTTATTGAGGGGGTATGCCACCAGAAAATGCTTTCTGTCGATGATTTGGAATCTGTTTTTCGAATCTGTCAAACTACTTTCTCAACGAACTTATGGACGCCTTTTCACACAGTCAGGTGTGGCCAGGCAGACGTGCCGCCGCAGTGAGCGGGAGGATGTCCTCAAGGTTGAAGTTGAGGCGGAAGAAGAAGAAGGAGGATCAACGTGGGAGGACCGCATTCTTTCTATCATTCCACCCCTCCTTTCTCAAAGAAGTCATTAAAAGTAATTTATCATACTGTGCACGCAAAGACCTTTTCTAGGTCTACACTCACTTAATCTTGCAGTGGTTCCCTTACAAACCACACCTTTCCCTGTACCAGACACGCATACCTGCTAACGCTAAGCAGATTTATGGGTTAGTTTGACTGCGCACGTCGCCCCTGTGGCTCACATGACAGGTGTTTCCTGGCTAAACGAGGGTGATCGCCGTGTTTGGAAGACCAAACTACCTTCTAAGGCGAGTTTCCAGCGTCGAGTTTTTGACCCTAGCGTTGGGAAGAAGGGTTGGCCGTGCATACAACAACAAAATTCAAAGCCAGAAAGCTCACTGATAGCAATCTGGCACTCAGCTGAGGTAATTACGGGTCAGCATTGATTAAAATCGTACAACTGATTTGGGGCTATAGTAAGAAACGGCCGGAGGGTGAAATCCAGAGAGCGTGAGCAGTTTTCATTTCATGCTCTAGATCCTGATCTCCTACTTCTAAGCTTAGTCCTAGAGGATGCTCTACTATCATGCGATGAGCCCTAACTTTCATCACTACTTCTGAAAAACAAGGATAAAAAACGAAAGAAAATTCGACACGTTTACATTCATGGGGTGCTTTGGCACGTTAGGAAACAAATGTATTATGAGTTTATTTGCTGAAGCTCAGAAGGACCGTATATGTATAAAACATACTTGAGCCTGTGTTGCTCACTCTATAGGTTTTGCCCATTGTCAGGTCATTTAGCCTATCACCCTACTCAAAGAGACCATTTCCTCATTCAGAAAGTCACACTATACTCGAATTTCGGGAATATCATCACATGACGACTGTTCGGTCATCGAAGGGGTCAGTATTAGTATCAACTGAAAAAATCATGTAGGAGACTTTTTTTAAGAAAGACTGTTCGATTACTGCCATTCATAAAAGATGTGTTGGTGAGCTCAGTAGCACTTTTTAAACTCGTCTTCCCATTCATTCATCTATAATTTTTCACTGTTATGTTGACTTGCTAATATAAAAAACCGTACGGAAAAATATAAGCTCTCCATCAGCAGCTCTAATAAAGTAGGCAAAAGAATCCCCCGTATGTGGTATCACTCGGTGATAATGCTGTACTTCAGGAATTACTTATCGGCTAGAGATATTATTTTACAGATAGTGGACCCGAAGTTGACTTCCTTTCAATGTTCCATAGAAAGTCAGTAGGACCAAAGAAAAATAATCGTGTGATGAAAAAAAGGCAGCATCCGCTCGGAACTCAGTAGATGACACCCCAGGGGCACTTTAGAGGGGTATTTTTACGTCGTAGGATCACCTGCAATTGTGCATGCTCCTCTGCCTGATCCTGAAGATGCCGTACACAATTTTTCTGTATTCAACACATTTAACTGGCCATGATCTGTAGACAAAAACGCTCAGGCTTACCCACACAAAATATTTAGCGCGTTCAAGTTCATGTGAATAGCCAGGTTCGCACGTTGAAGTGATGTGAACATATCAACATTTTTTTTGCAAGTCCTTGAAGACCTTAGTTTAATTCACGAATCAACGGCACGGCTTCATCTGTCTTAACAGCACACGAGGTTGATAATGATTCCGTTGGCTAACGTCTCGGCGTTTTCGACTTCAGCGGGGCCTGGAGACCAATTCACGACCTATCCGTCTCACTAGCCTACGGTTCTTCGGAGTCAGCTAAGCCATCATATAGTTATGGACAGATAAAGTACCGTACCTTGCCAAATCAACGAAATCAGCTCACAGGAGCGACAGTGGAGCGGATTTCAAACTTTCCGGGGTTCACGGTTCCAGATGGAAGCTCACCTTATACATGTGGGAGGGAGTTAGTTCCTGCGTTACTGACACTGATTATCCCTAGCGGTTACATTTTTGGATCCCTTAACCTGACTCGAAATGCCCCCAGGTTTTCATGAATTTATGTTCCGTGATCATGGTCTCCAATTCCAATGGATTTGTGATGGACCGAGCTTGCAAAACGCTTACAGCTCCAACAAACATGTCTGGCGCAACACACGGAAGGCCAGATGCGCAAGTTTCACCAGGTCGGCGTGAACGTGAACGTGTTGAAGTTGATCGGGCGACTTTCACTGAGCTGGTGAGCCGTCACTTACGGCTATCCCAGTGAGCATTACCATTTTCAACAATCGAGTCCAGGGAAGACCAAAACTCGAATGCCGATTTATTGTATCATGGGCCTACTTTACCATCCTTTATCTTTATCTTTATCAAATGACGTAGACTGAAGTCCATGAGGGTATGACAACTCAAGCAAAAGAATAATTGCCAACATACATACTGTGTTGTAAAATATGAAAAGAAACAAAACAAAGGTAGACTTAAATAGAAAAATATAATATTCTGTTTATTTTTGAGCCTTAATCAGTAATCTATTGCAAATTTTGTCTATTATAACACAATAGTGAGAACTAATAAGATTAGTGGCCTACTGTAACACACAATCCTGCGCAGTGATCTCAGTTTTCGGGCTGACTATGGATGTTTATACACTATCTTGATTAAGTACTATCTTAATGAGCTCCAAGCAGCGTCCAGGTCTGTGAAATCCTGAGGCTCCAAATCTTCCTCAGCTCGAAAGCATGGTGTATTCATCTCATATCCTTTTCCGCATCGTTGAGATATGCGGATAGTCAGGCTTTCTTAATTGAGCTCATACAGCCGGCCTATCTTTTACCAAAACCTAGACCACACAATAAATATTGTCAAGCAGGGTGTCATGACATAATTAGGGTGTCACTGATAATGTACATAATACGAGGTCAGACACACAGGAGTGTTTGCACAAGCCTTATGACATCATGTTGATCACGTCGTAAAATATGGGCATTTGTCCAGCTAAAATGAAGTACTTCATTAAATCTTTGGTTTTCTCTCTAGGATTTTACGGGTTGCCATATTAATATTCGGATGAGATGAGTTCTCGCGCCAATTTTTTTTCGCATAGCCTTTAAAACGTGCGAGAAAGTGAACAGTTAGGAACCGCAGTCTACCCGAATGAGGGAGGGGTTAAAAGCAATAGTTTGCGCCGCCTACAGTAATCTCATGTCTCATGGAAGAAGAAGCGCAGGGGTGTGTGAACCAGCGCGCTTTCGCATTCGCACCAACCTCTAAGCTTCCTCCCCTGCAACAACTGAGATTACTGTAGACGGCATGACTATGGCACCGAGTGCCTCCCTTATTCATATGGACACGCAGAGGCTTCTAACTGCATGCGAGACTACTCTGGTGAGACCAAGTCCTGCCAGAAAGGCAGTCAATAAAGGGCATTAGTCCGTATGGAACTTATTAGAGAAGCTTCACTAAAACAGTGCATATTTTGGGGAATGTAAAACTCTAGTGAGACCTGAACCGACCAAACTACGATGTCGCATTGCTCGGCTTCGTTCGTGTAATCGTATAGCTCTGCCAAGCTAGTGTCCAAGAGCAAAACATTCGCATGGAGGCTCAGTGGACCTTATCAAGATTCCAGAGAAAGCCAATAACACTTTGAACTACTTTGTTACTTCCTTGGATTTCCGCGTCCTTAGTTGCCATATTTTTCAATGGTTCACATAATATGGGATTCACCATTGTCGGAGAAGCACACGTGGAGTTCGAATAAAAAATACAAATATATATATAATACAAATGCAG